CTTAGAGGCATTTTTAAACTTAATATTGCAAAAATTAAAAGCCAGAGACTAAGAAATGTGCTGCAAGAAACGGCACTGAACTAATGATACTGAATAAACATTTTGATTCCATAGAATGTAAACATTGGAATCTAGAATCATTTCATTGAAACAAACAAAAAGATCACCTATTTATTCATTACAAACAATAGACCAATCCAAAGCAGAAATATTTTTAGATGAAAACATGAAAAAATCAAGTGGGTGGAATTTTTTGCCTGTCAGTATATATATATATATATATATATATATATATATATATATATATATATATATATATTTTTTTTTTTACATGTATATATATGTAAATATATAAAATGTAGGAAACTTACATTTGTTTGTTTAGTATACAGAGTTTTTGTATAGGAGACGTGTACCAAAATCAGCTTTCTGTCAATACCTAAATTGAAAAAAAATATATATATATATAAAATGAACTTATTAACATTTATTTGATGTATTCAACATTTAAATAAAATATAAATAAGGTCATGTATATGACGCCAATAACAGAGAAAGGACATACTAATTCAGCTACAGGGGACTAATGAATGGATGGACCAAGCCACAAGTCAAATGGTGAAGGCAGTAGGGACTTGCCCCTACCTCTAAGTGGCTACAGCCAAGTCAGGAAAGCATACATCCCGGCCAAACCAGTTACCCAACTCACTGTCGGGAAGGTATATATCCCGTCTGAACTAGTGATCCAACTCCTAACAGGAAGGCATGTATCCCGTCCACAGTCAAAGGGCTAACAAAAAAGTATTATAATTATTCTAGTATGGTGGAACTCAATAATCTTGAGTTTGATAGGACTATTTCCCTCTTAGTTTATTGGAAAATCTTTGGAAACTAAATAAAACTTTGAATAAAATCAGATTTATATGTATTTCAGTGTTTATATACATAATTTAAAAACATATGCTCGTCCTTTCAAATCTCTCAATTCTGCATTCTAGTGTGTCGGTTGGTGCCCAAGTCTCACACCCTTAGTTTATGATTTTTGGCGATTTTTCTGGAATTCAGTACCCTTGAAAGAAAGAAAAAAATGTTATTCGCTGATCTATCCCTGTTAGTTGATTATTTATTGAGATTATTGTGGAAGTGAGGTATTTGAGTCTGTTTACTTTTGGGAATGACTTGGAGTGCATGCAGATACTGCTATTCTGGTGGATTTTCGGCTATTATAAATTTATTTTATGTTCATTGACTTGTAGTCCAATTTGCTTTGTTTCTCTTATCAGAGTCCGAGTGGGTATCTATATCATCCGTGTATGCTTGAATTTTAGGTTTCGGTATATATATACACATTGTTTTGATTAATAAAATAAGTGACAAATAAATAATGATTAAGATTTCTGTCTCTGTTCCAGCGCCAAATGTTCTGTTATTATTAAATTAATAAAGAAATAATGATTAAAATTGCTGTACCTGTTTAGGGCTAACCAAATGTTCTGATATTACTAAATAATAATTTAATATAAAAAATATTTAATTATAAATTTTATTTATTATTACAAATTTTACGGATGCTGAAGGCTTAACTGGTTCATTGACTGTGAATAACTAAGGATCAAATAAATGATATTGATACATCACATATTCTGTTTAATATAAGAACATATTTATAAATGAAATAAAATAAAAATTAAATTTATATTATCTATTACTGCTTCTTGGTATTGTCTCTCTGGTAGCTCAGATCTTATACTGCTTCCTATTTTTTATCTGCTAATATGAATTCAATTGAAGATGGTCTTCATCTGGTCTATGCTCCCTTAACGACTGTGTACATGTTACCAGCATTTCGGAAACGACAGATGATCCATCCTGGCCAACGTACAGTGGCCAACAAAACACCTTATTTTTGGAAAAAAATTCGCCCACCTTAGACGTATGACTGTAAAGCTTAAATAGGGCTCATTTTATATATATTTTCTTATTCTGAATCGAGTGAAATAAAAAGTAAGTCGATAGCTTTACGCGTTTTTGTTATTATGGCTGTATTATCTTTTAAATTTTAAAAACATCTCAATAAAAATAAATTAAAAAATTGAAGTCAACATTATTGGGCAAAAATATTGAAGGTTAGAAAGATTTAAACAAATTTGGTTTAATAAATGTTTAAATATATAGGTTTATAATATTTACAGAATATGAAACTAAAAGTTTAAGCATAAATATTATTTTGTTTTTAAAGATCGTTGAAGAAATATCCTTATTTTAAAATTGCTAATATTGTTGTGTTTTATGTTGTTTTAACCTGATTCTTCCTTGAAAATTATTATTTAAAAAAAAAATTACATAGGTTTAAATTAAGTTTTTATTTTTATTATCCGTTTATTTATTTTATTTTATTATTTATTTATCATTTGTATTTAATTCTTTGTTTATTTTAATTTATTATTTACCTATGATTTTTGAGATAGGCTATAGTTAATGTTCAAGATATAATAAGGTTTATAAAGTGCTGTGTCATATATATTCATTGAAATCTTGTTTGTTTTTTTTCTCCCTTAGAATCTCATTTAAAAGATAGTAAATATAAGAGGGGTCAAAAAAGTCGTCAAAAGAAGATAAAAGAAAAATATAAAGATCAGGACGAGGAAGAAAAACTACTACGGATGTCTATTTTAAAGGTAATTTTTAGTTTTATTATATATTTATTTTTATTGGGTTGCCCAGAAAATAATACAGGATTTGAGCTGAAGGAGACCTCAGCCTTCACAACAAAGAAGGTCGTGGAAGGACTTCCTCTCTTGATAACGATGTTCTGTGGACTTTGGTGGAAGAAAATCTCAGAACAACTGTTCAAAAACTTGCAGGGAATATTAATAGCGAATCGACCATCGATGACCATCTCAAGGCGAATGGAAAGTTAAAAAAGCTTTAACGTTGGGTTCCAAACACATTAAATTACCACAAAAAAATAAATAAATAATGTTATGAAGTTTGTGCTACATGTCTTTGCCGAAACAAAATTAACCCTTTTCTGTCCAGAATTGTTACTTGTGATGAAAAGTGGATACTTTTACGATAACAGTAGATGTTCTGGATAGAGAAGTAGCAGAAAGAACATTTTCCAAAGCCCCCAACTCATCTAAAAAAGGTGATCGTTACTGTTTGGTGGGCTTCATTAGGTTTCATAAACTTCTTAAATCCTGGATAAACCATCAATACCGAATCGTATTATAAGCAAATTAATGCAATGTATCAGAATTTAGCAATAATGATGCCATCTTAGGTCAATCGGAAGGAGCCCATTTTGTTGCATGACAACGCCCGGTTACATGTCTCATGTGTTACGTCACAAAAACTGTTGGAGCTTGGATATGAAACTCTGACACATCTACCCTACACTCTGGACCTCCCGCCTACGGATTATCATTTTTTTTTTACACCTGGACCACTACTTACATGACAAAAAATTTAATGGACCAAGGGAATTAGAAAATGTGTTTTTGGAGTTTATCAATTCTAAAGATGGGAAATTCTATTCCGAAGGAATGGAAAAGTTTCCAACATGTTGCCAGAAATGTTTTGATAGTAGTGGAGACTATTTTGATTAAATAAAACAGTTGTAAATCTTTCTTTTTTTCTTTTTAAACCAAAATCCTGCATTTTTTTTCCAAATAACCCAATATTTGATCAGTTAATTATTAAAATGTATTAGTTTGAATTATTAAACTAAAATTATTAAAATCATTGATTATTCTTGAGGGTTAAAATCTGACCTGTACCTCCTAGTGGTGCCCCCTTTGTAACTTTAAAATAAAGTCCATGTGCAGCATCAAAAGTTTGTCAATTATTTGAAGAAAACTTTTAGTCATTCACTATTACCGCAGTCCGACTTGCTTAAGCTACCTACTTTCATAATGCCCTGTCCAATGCTCCCGACTCCAAATGTAAGTGGAAAATACTCTGTAATCTATCCCTACCAGAATCCAATAATCTTAGTTCCTTCTCTCTTCCTCTGGATGATCTCAATAATCATTTCTTAACCTTCACTCACCATTCTTCTACTTTCGATATTAAACATCACAACTTCAATCCTGAATACTTCTTTTTCTCCCATATGTCCTACGACACATTACTTTCCACTATCCTAAAATCCCACACGGATGATTATGGTCCTGATAATATTCCAGTAAAACTAATAAAATCCAGCCTTCCTGTCCTTATTCCTGTTCTTTATCATATCTACAATTTTTCATTGCAAAATTCCTTATTTCCATCCTCCTGGAAAACTGCCCTAGTCTGACCTTTGAATGAAATTTCTAACCCTATCACACTGCACGACCTCCATCCTATTTCTCTCCTATCCAACCTTTCAAAGCTGTTAGAACGCCTTGTCCAAAATCAACTTTCCAACTTCCTAGAGGAACGTTCCCTTATTAACCCACTCCAATCTGGCTTTCGACCTGGCTACTCAACTCAATCCACTCTCCTTAAAATAAGCCATTGCCTCCAAAGCCTTTGACACAGTTGGCCATATCATCATCCTTACTAAATTGCATAATATTCCTCTATCCAAAAGTGCCCTGCGTTGGTTCAAATTCTTCTTTTCAAATCGGTCCCAGTATGTAGTAGTCTTACTGCTCGAAAGTCGCCTCCAAGAAATAAATGGGGAGAGTACACTGGATAACCTCTGGAATGAAATTAAGAACTGCATGCTCAATACAGCAAGTGAAGTATGTGGATAATAAAAAATAAAGCCCCATACCAAGAAAATAGAATGATGGAAACATGTCAAAAGAAGTATCAAGCACAAGAACAAGCCCTGGAAAACTTATAATAGAACTAAATCACCTGTTCATTGGGATGAATATGTCAGAAACCAAAATGAGACTAAAAGAATAATCAAATTAGCTAAGAAGAGGACTTGTGAAAAGTTTGGTCAAGAGCTTGAACAAGACTATACCGAGAATATTAGGAAGTTCTGGCATATTACAAAAGCCTTGATGGATAAGAGGTCAAAACCGGCCAGCAATGTTAAAGACATGCATGGAAAGTTGGTGACTGAAGAAAAGGAAGTGCTTGAGGTCTGGAGGCAGTTCTTCCAGAGAAAATTTAGGATGGAAGAAGATCTTCATCATAACTACAGATACTGCAGAAGGAGAGGTAGAGTGGATGATTTTGCCCTGAAGATGTGGACGATGCGATCGGGGAAGATGAGGTGGAGTTGGCAGTCAACAAACTCCAGCTAAGAAAAGCTCCAGGACCAGATGGCATAGCGCCGTAATTTATAAAATATGGAGGCAATTAAATGATTAAATGCCTTCAAATGCTGTTCCAGAAGATTTGGGACATTAAGTTGTTGCCACGAGAATGGGAAAATAACATCATAATCCCAATTCACAAGAAAGGTAACCAAAGCAAATGTGGTAACTGTAGGCTAATATGCCTGTCCTCAGTACTGTACAAAATATACACTAGAATATTAGAGCAGCGATTGCGGGGTATTGTGGAACAAGATATTGAAGAAGCGCAAGTGGCTTTCAGGCATAGGAGACAGACCCAGAACCACATTTTTTCTTTTGAAAATGATAGTAGAGACAGCCTGGGACCGAGGAAAGGCAGTCTACTTGGCATTCCTGTATCTGAGGACAGCTTTTGACTCAGTCCAGAGGCAGGAGATATGGGACACACTAATAACCAGAAGATTGCCAGCAAACTGGTGAGTGCAATTAAATCAGTGTACCAAGACCCAAAAGGCATTGTAAGACTTAATGGTAAGACATCACGGCCTTTCCACTTTTATGAGGGAGTAAAGCAGGGAGACAGCCTAAACCCACTACTATTGTGCTCCTTATGGATGAGATATGGAAGATGTGTAAAAGGAGATGCCCAAGAACACTAGTAGGTTTTTGGAACCTAACTCCAGGTCTGGCTCAAGCGATGGTATAATAATAATACTCTATTTATTCTGGGGCGTGTCCATTTAGAAAATACAGAAAGAACAGAAATGTGGGCTAAGGAGCCTCAGAGATACATAAACAAAAATACGGAGTTATTAAATAGTCGGATGATATCGTACTGATAGCCGACTTTGAAGGGGCTCTTCAGGAATCCTTGGATGGATGGAATGAGGAACTGAAGATAAGAGGTTTACAAATAAACCCTAACAAAAGTAATATCATGTGTGTCGGAAGTGAAAATGCAGAGCCTACGATTTTGTGTAATGGTGAACCCCTAGAACTTTCGAATATTTATACGTATCTAGGGACAATAATAAGTAAAGATGGTAAAATAGACCAGGAGGTCCTAAATGGAGTGAAGAAGGCCAATGGAGTGTACCATCAGATTTCCAAAACTGTTATAGGCAAGCAAAAAGTAAGTAGAGATACCAAAATATGGATATTTAAATCCGTGTTCCTCCCAGTTCTCCTGCATGGATCAGAAAGCTAGACAGCCCTCGATAGGCACATCAGTAGGATAACATCAGCAGAAATGAGATTCCTCCAAAGAATAGTTGTTAAAACCAGGAGGGACTGCATCAGAAATGAAAGGATTCAGGAGGATCTAGGTGTTAAATCAGTGCGCGACACCATACAAGAGGGGCAACTAAAATGGTATGGACATGTCTGTAGAATGGATGATACTAGAAAAGCCAGGTGGTTTTTAGAAGTTAGGCCGGAAGGAAGACGCCCTCTTGGCAGACACAGATGCATGTACTCTGATTACATTGGAAAACTGGGGGAAGAAAGAGGACGCACCATCCCGGAGATGTGAAGACTAGCCAGGGACAGAGACCAGTGGGCTAGATGGACTGAGACTGCTACTCCACTCTTGACGGCACACAGGAGTTAGATTAAGAAGAATAAGAATAAGACAATGGTGGTGCAGATAGTTTCACAACTACAGTAGCAATATTTGGCAAATATCAGGACATGCATCACTTATCTAAATTGTCAGCTGGATCTGGTAGCTCCCCATCACAACGCCCATTTCGCCACGTTCAAGTTCAATGTATCTATCTATCAGTCTACAGCTCTGTAATAAACTTCACTGATCACTTCATTTTAATTAAGTTTGAAAGTCTTAATCTTATTATTGCACTAACCGTATTTATTTATTATATTCTGATTTTCGTAATTTACTTAAATTGTTTTATTGGGGAAAATGCCTCCAGAAATTACTTTAAATGATGTAATGATCCTTCTGAGGGACACAAATGAACTAGTTAAAAAGGGAAACAAGGAGATGAGAACCTTGAAAGAATCGATGAAATGGTTTAAGATTGATTAGTGGTGGGAATCAGGTGCCGCGGATTGTCGGATCTAGATTGCAGAGAGTAGGCAAGTTTACTTGCAACAGTGTGTGTTCAGTATAGAGGGTTAAGATGACTGAGAGGTGGATGTGACAGGTGGATCAGCACCCAATCACTCTTAGTCTGCTGTGTAAGGGATTAACCTTAACACACAGAATAAAAGTACTGATTTTAACTTAACCAGTGCCAGCTGTGGTTACACTAACATAAGACTAAAGAAATTATATTGTTGAAGTATACAACTTATCAGAATGCCTCGCCTGAGCTTTGCTCAATTTAGGGGTTAAATGACTAAGTGAATGACTTATGAATCAGGGAATCGATGAATTCCACTGAATCGGTGAATCGACTGAATCGGGAATCATCTGATTCTGCTGAATTCATCGATTCATTGGGTTAGTTCTTGGAAATCTTTGAGCCTTATCACATTGTTCGCTGAGTTATTTTGTTTACTTTTGTTATCTTCTTTTCCATGAGTATATCGCTCTAAGCATATTTACATTACTATTTTGTTTATTTTTTCTCTCTGTTTATTTTATTTATATATGTGTTCAGTTTTTTTCTCTCTTTTACTTTAATTTTTAATTACCTATTAATTATTATGCAAATACTTAATTTAACATTTCCCACTACACATATTTATAACCCATGCTTATTTATATCACTATTTTATTTATTTATTTACTTCTTCTCTCTGTCTAGTTTATTTATATATGTGTTAAGTTGTTTTTTCTCTCTTGTACTTTTATTTTTAATAACACCTAATGAACTGACCGATTCCCAGTGAATCGCGATTATGTTATGTGAATTACTAAAGAGTATGATTCTTTCAGAGGAATAGACTCTTTGCTTCGAATTCTCGATTTGCCTGCCCATTTCTAGTTATAACAGCATTTGTTGCATTAGTTATTTCTCTTGTAAAGTACATATCACAACTGAAAAGTCATCTATGGAATGAGATTTTTTTTTCATCACTAGGCATGGCTGACGAGGATTAGTGGAGATCTGTCTTAATGTGGCCTGTAGGATTTAGTGGAGGTCTCAATATGGCCCTCAGCCCAATAAGTTTAGAGACCTCTGGTTTAGAGTATCAAGATGGTACAACTCTTTAATGGCACAGTAAAAGGACGTGGTAGAACTGGGTTCCCTATAAGCAGAAATATCAAAATAGAAGTGCAGTAATTCCAAACGTACACTCATTGTATTTCTAGGGTATTATAAAAAAAGAAGAAGATTCAGAAGACAACATTTTAAATAATGCATGCTTATGCTCCCACTATAGATGCAGAAGAAAGTTATATTGAAGAAATGTATTTAAATCCACAAATAGGTATTGATGAAGGAAAGTATAATAAACTAATATTAATCAGAGATTTTAATTCAAAAATAGATAGTGAAGGTAACTCAACATATATAGGTAAATTAAGAATAGGAGAACTAAATAATAGAGGAGAAAAACTTATTGAGTTTGATGAATTAAATGGTCTTTACATCATAAAAGTTTTTTTGAAAAAAATCCTTATAACAAATGGACATGACAGAGCCCAGATAAAAAGACAAAAAATTAAAATAGATTTCATAATTGTTAAAAATAAACAATTTGTGAACAACATGGGTGTTTTAAGTGGCATTGGCAGTGATCACAGATCAGTAGGGATAATGTTGAATAAAAATACCACTTTGAAATATAAAATCCACCTCAATTTAATAAAATGGAAATTTTAGGATAAGTTAAAATCAGCTATGCCAAATTTAAATCAAGAAATGACGCCTTTAACCCAAATTATGGAAATAACAGACTCATTAAAAAATGTACTTGAACAGATTAAGGAAGAGAATTTTATGATAGATGGAAATTGTCGAAACCTCCCAAGAAAGTTGAAAAATCTTCTTGACAAAAGAAGAAATTTGAAAAAAAAAGAAGTAAAAAGTAAGATACAAGACAACTCAACAAATTAATCAGAAAAGAAATTGAGAACTGGTTGTGACAAAGTAAGGTAGAAAAAATTGAGGGTGCTATTAAGGCAGGAGGTAAACTAAATGAGTAGGAATTACTAAAAAAAAAATTAATGTTATTTTAAATGAAAATGAGCAATAATTAAATGATAACTTGGAGATAATTAATAGAATAAAAGAATATTATGATAGAAGAAAAGATAAAAATGCGGAGTGGAATATAGAAAGTTGGAACCCAAAAGAAGAACTTATGATTGCAGAAGTATTAAGTGTAATTGATAGTTGCAAGGAAGAAAAATCAGGAGGTGTTGACGGTTTGAAAATTGCACACATGAAAGCTGGAAGAATGGTTCTAGCGCAGGCTCTCACTTACTTATGTAATATATTCCTTAAGAATGAGAAACTTCAAAACTCATTCTATCAAAGAAAGGAGATAATTCTAACACCCATTAAGTTTGCTTTCAGTTTTATAAATAATAATAATAATAATAAAAGGCTTAGCGAACCCGAAGGTTCGATGCCAACACCACAAATCGCTTATTACACACCTTCCTCCACCGTTCGCCGTTCAAACCCAGTCCCTTCAGATCGGCTTTAATGCAATCTTCCCACCTTGGCTTCGGTCTACCCCTCGGACGCTTACCATTCGGCACAGCAAATATTAATCTTTTAGGAATTCTCTCGTTACTAAGCCCAACAACTTTACAAGCCCATTTGATTCGCCGCGACGAAATTATCTCAATTATATTACCCGGATACAGTTCACGCAATTCGGCGTTGTGTAACCGTCTGAACTCTCCGGTTAACTCATCCTTCTTCGGTCCGAATATTCTACGCAATACTTTATTTTCAAAAACCTTAAGACGCTGCTCATCCCTTAATGTAAGCGGCCAAGTTTCGCATCCATAAAGAACTGTAGGCAAGATAATTGTTTTATAGATTCTAATTTTTAAGTTTCGGGACAAGAGGCGCGAACTGAGTAGTTTTGTCACAGAAAAATAACAAGCATTTCCCGCCTTCAGTCTAACCTTAATCTCTTCTTCAATTTCGTTTTTTCTAGTTATCGTAGAACCTAGATACCTAAATTTATCTACCTGTTCAAACATATTACCATCTATATCGATATCACCAGTAGTATCGCCATTTTTGCAGCTAACCATATATTTTGTTTTATCCACGTTTATTTCGAGTCCTAGTTTTTTACCGGCTTTCATTAACGTTGTCGTATTTAGTTTTATAGTTTCAATTTCGCTCAACAGTACCTGATCATCAGCATAGCCCAGCACGGATGTTGTCCCACCCAGATCCAACCCTTTCTCGGTTCGCATTACCTCCCTAATGGCATGTTCTAATGCCAAATTGAACAGGACAGGCGAAAGGGAATCCCCCTGTTTTAAACCCGAGCGAACCTCAAATTTTTCCGACAGATTATTACCGATTCTAACTTTATTGAGTGTCTCCGTCAAGCACATCCTGACTAGATTTACTAGTTTTTTTTGGAACCCCTTGCTCGAATAGAATATTATACAATTTCTGGCGGTCAATAGAGTCGTAAGCCTTTTTAAAATCTATATACAGCTGGTGAACAATTCCGTTGTACTCCAATTTTTTCTCTAATATTTGCCGTAAAGAAAATATTAGATCAATAGTGGAACGATTCCTTCTAAATCCGCATTGGTAGTCTCCGATAATTTCCTCGGCGTATTCCGTGATTCGACTGGTTAAGATTAAAGTGAATATTTTATAACATACCGGAAGGAGTGAAATTCCTCGATAGTTATTACAATCCGTCCTCGGACCCTTTTTGTGAATCGGAATAAGAATAGATTCTTTCCATTCCTCAGGTAATTTCTCATTCACCCAGATCTTTTTAACCAACCGATGTATTTTAGAAACTCCAGCTTCCCCGCATGCCTTAATTAGTTCAGTAGGAATATTATCGGTTCCCGCTGCTTTATAAGATTTTATAATTGGTAATTGGTTGACTGTCGTGGATAATGAAGAGAAGAACAGTTGGGGTGGTCAGTCAAAAAGGAAGGCAAAAATAAGTGATAATATTTATTTTTTACATATGCCAACGTTTCGACCTGAAGTTCAGGCCTTCATCAGGGCTAAGAAAATATTTCAGCTAATCTTATTTCAGCTTTCTCAATTTCTTCCCTCCTTCCTTTCATTCCTTTTCTCTGTTTTTAACTCTTTATTATATTATACATTGTCTGTACATCTTGATAGACTTTACAATATCTCAATTTTCTATCTAACTACTCCATTCTCAATGTTTTAATTTTACTATTTATTTTCATTTCTTATATAACTTCATATTTCTTTTTTATGTTTTACATTTTATTCTAAGATTTCCATTGTAACACTTTTGTCACCCTTTTTGATTATGCCTACTTCATCATTCCACACTTTGTAACGGTTTTTATTATTTATCTCTTAGTTCTTAGTCATTATTCTAACAATTTCATTTTACTTTATATTCATCTATTTTATTTTTCTAATTTTTCTATTTTATTTTTTTTATTTTTTATTATGATATTAGTTGAGGAAAACTTTAACTCCTAAAAAATAAGATAAGATAATAATAATAAAATTAGAGTATATTAATAAAAAACAATAACAATGAAAATAATATAAAAAATAGCTAGTTATGTCATTTATATTGTTATATTAGTTTTATTTACTGAAATTTCTTTTTATATTTGACTCCTGTATATCATTCAACTGTATCTGGAATATCTATCTCAACAACATTTATATCAGCCTTTGTCTAATGGTAAAATGGTGGGAGATGAACAGTTATTTTGGGATATAACCCATGAAAATTTTGGAAATTTTCTTATTTATAATTTTTGTTTGCTGCCTTATAAGTCAATTTGTCACTAAACTATACAGTTTATATCTGTATTCATTTGATGATAAATGGGACAAGAGTGGTCTAAGCTATTATGTCCACTGCTGCAATTGATACCATCCAGAATTTCAGTACATGTGCCATTTGTATGTTTTTTGTCCCGACGTTCAGAACAATTGGTTTTAAGATTGCTGCATTTTAGAGTAGGGTGGAAAAAAACTAACATTTGTATGTAACTCCTAATGGGATTTGGTATGTGATTTAGAACTTTATTATTCAGATTACCTACTTGGAGTATTTCAATTGGAAATAGCGTAAAAAAAAATTATAATATAAGTGTTTATCCAGTTGAATTTTGTTTATTACCTTCTAAAAAAGTTTTGTTATCCTGTCTATTTTCCCCATAATTGCTAATGATATTCTGAAAAAGTAAAAGCTTTCTGAGTTAATGATTCTTGTAGAAAATCTCAAATATTTCATGAAAGAAATGGACATTTGTTCTCCAACTACATATGTATGTCCTCTGGGTCACTGTTTATACACAGTGCTGGGACCAACTTACACATTGAACATAACTTATGTTTATATTACAACTTATATAACTTATGTTTTTAACTTACCTTAAATGCTTTTTTTTTTTTTTTTTATTCAGTCTGCTGGTACTTCTAAAGCTGCCGAGAAGAAAAACCGTAAACATCAAAACAAGAAAAATGATAAAAATTATACTCTTAAGGTTGAAAAAAATCAAAATACTGAAGGCTTTCCGAAACCAGAAAAAATTTCAATTAAGCCTGTTGTAAGTCAAAACCCTCCATATAATGAAAAATTAGATGATGGAGATGATACAAAAGATGATGAAATAACTGTAGAAACCAATGAATTGGATATGCTTCAATCCCTAACTGGGGTTCCACACGAAGATGATGAAATTTTATTTGCTCTTCCCATTGTTGCGCCCTATACATCCATTTTAAATAACAAGTAAGTACTGCATACGATTAAAAAGGTGTTTAGGACTGAAAATTATAGCAAAGGTTTTTTCCACAAGTCTGAGGTCCCTACTCACTACAGAAAAAAAATATACCTCCCTTATCATTTTTACCACCACACTGTGTGACCACTTTCATTATGTTGCTTCATTTACAAGTTATTCATGTTTTGATGCCAGGAATTAGGCAGTAGGCCCCTCTTCCAGACGATTCTTGTAAATATCTATCTTTCAAGAGTATACTTTGTTTTTCTTGTCACCTTTTGCCAGTGGGCATTCTACAGTTCTCGTCTCCAGTGGTTGATTCATTTCAGTTGATCCTTCTTAAGGTCAATTGGATGTCTATTGGTTGATGATGCACACTGCATTGAAGTACAGTGTGAAACACAACTTGTGACACAGTGTGAAAAAGAAGTTTGCAGAGCATTTATAGGTAGCATAACTTCATTAGGTAGATATTTATCCAAATTGTCACTATGTAACAAAGTCTGGATCTTACAACATTATATAGAGCTTCTCCGACATTGCCTGGGTTCACCAGTATTTATTATGATCTGAGGTCATGCATTCCCCTACCCTGTTGCTTTGATGTTATTATTATGTGGAGGTTCTTATAACCTTATTCTTATGCCAATTCATGTACCTAGATATTTAATGAATGGATGAGATATCCAATTCCACAACTATTATGCTAATTATCTTTTTCACTTTCCCACTGATGATAATTACTGCCTAAATTTTATGTGAATAAACTTATTAAAATTATAAACAGTAAGTACATTAAAATATTAAGAACAATAAGTTGTATAAACAGAGTAAGCTAAATAACAAGATCCTAAACTGAAATAAATAGATGGTAACAATTGTTTTAGTATAATACAAAATATAATATATGCAATTGTAAATATACTCCTACAGATCTACGGGAGAGATTGGAAGAAAAGGAAAAGGAGACTTACAGGTGTGTTTAGCAAGGAGTTTCACTTAGAACTGGAAAACTAGGGCAAGTACTCGGGAAATTTGCTGATCTGATTGGGGAATGGTGAGGGGGTAAGTAGTAAAAGTAAACCAAAACCTGAAATATTACAGTATCTAAAATTTGAAGATATGGATGGATACAAGGGAAATACTATATCTATGAAATAATAAATTATAAATATATACATATACATATAAAATAGAATTAAGAAATTATAGATAGGAATACAATGTGAATAAAAACAAAAATTAAAGAAATAAGACGTACGTAGAAGTAAAATATAAATATAAAAATAAGAGACCATACATTGCAGAACTAATTTAGAAGTATAGAGAGGAAACAGATATGAATAATTATAATTATACTTAGTTGTACATATGTAAGAAAATTACATTCAAGTGTTAGATAATATTGAGACATAATGGTTAAAAAGTAAAATGAATACAAAGTAAAAACGGATGATCGTACATTGAGGTAGAATGTAAATATAAAATTAAAAATATAAGAGAGATCATACAAAGCGGAAATACTTAAAAATAACGAACGATTAAATTGAATTAATCAATCAAAATTGAAAATAGATAAAAAATAATAAGGTGTAATAAATAAGTTATTTCACTTATAAGATTTAAAATGTGCCTACATGTTAAAGAAATGTAATTTTTATCTACTTTATGATTAACAGGATTCTGTTCCATGTGAATGTGGGTGGATTCAGAAATGATTCTTTCTTTCATGGTTAGGGACCGTGGCAAGAATAGAGATTTTTTCAAAATCAAATGAATGGTTGAGGGTTAAGGCATGTTCTGGTAGTTTGGAGGCGGAGGGTTCCGGGAAGTTATGGATGTTTTATGTTGGGAAATGCTGGTTATGAGATGGTTTTTGGTTTCGCCAATATAGGAGCTATTACAATTAGGAGTAGAGCAAGGTATCTGGTAAACGACATTAGATAGGTGTGGTAAAAGTATGGGATCCTTCAAGTTGGTGAAAAGTAAAGCAAGTTTGTTATGGGACTTAAAGCCAAGACATAAGTTGGTTATAGTGGATTTAAGGAATTTTTGTATATTATCTGAGAGGATAGGAATATAGAACAGAGATTTGTATATGAAAGGAGTGATAGGTGACTGTGGGGAGTTGAGGGAAGGGGAGGTTGTACTCTTTTTGGTTGTACAACTGTTTAAAAGTTTAAGTATAGTGTTGAGAGGGAAATTATTGGAAAGGAGTATATATTTGACACGCTGAGTGTTGGCTTGGTGATATTCTGAATCAGATAAAGAGAGAGATCAGTGAATAAGGTTTTTGGTGGTATTGATTTTTTGGTGATATGGGTGTTGAAAATAAAAGTTAAGCAGTCTGCCTGAGTATGTGGGTTTAGTATACCAGTTAGTACAAATATAGCTGTCATTGTTTTTTATTATTAGGAGGTCTAAGAAGGGAAGTGAATTGTTAACTTTTTTCTCTATAGTGAAACAAAGACGGTGGTAAGAGTTGAATGAGGAAAGAATTTGAGGAATGCTGTCAGGGTTAAGAACAAGCAGGAGGTCATGGACATATTTTTGTAATGAAAATGATATCTTGATGGAAAGAAGGGATAACGGAGTCTAGAAGGTCATTAAGAATTATTCTTGCCACGGTCTCTAACTATGAAAAAGACTCATTTCCGAATCCATCCACATTCACATGGAAGAATCCTGTTAATCATAAAGTAGATAAAAACTGCTTTTATTTAACATATTGGCACATTTTAAATCTAATAAGAGAAAAATAACATATCTGTTACCTCTTATTATTTTTTATCTATTTTCAATTTTGATTGATTAATTCAATTCAATCGTTCGTTATTTTTAAGTATTTCCGCTTTGTATGTTTCCTCTCTCTACTTCTAAATTAGTTCTGCAATGAATAGTCTCTTATTTTTATATTTATATTTTACTTCTATGTATGTCTTACTCCTTTAATTTTTGTTTTTATTCACATTGTACTCCTATATATAATTTCTTAATTCTATTTTATATGTATATGTATATATTTATAATTTATTATTTCATAGATATTGTATTTCCCTTGTATCCGGCCATATCTTCAAATTTTAGAAACTAATTTTTCAGGTTTTGGTTTACTTTTACTACTTACCCCCTCACCCAACCAGGTCAGCAAATTTCCCGAGTACTTGTCCTAGTTTTCCAGTTTTAAGTGAAACTCTTTGCTGAACACACCTGTAAGTCTCTGTTTTTATTCTTCTAATTTTATTTACTTTTTTTTTCTTCTTCTTTTTTCTTTTCTTTCTCCACACCCCTTTCCATTATTCCATATTATGTCCTTTTTCCTTTTCTTCCAATCTCTCCTGTAGATTTGTAGGAGTATATTCACAATTGCATATACTATATTTTGTATTATGCTAAAACAATTGTTACCATCTATTTATTTCAGTTTAGGATCTTGTTATTTAGCTTACTCTGTTTATACAACTTATTGTTCTTAATATTTTAATGTACTTACTGTTTATAATTTTAATAAGTTTATTCACATTGTTTATATTTTTTTATCTAAATATAATGTAACTTCCACAATTTTCTATATCTTTTTGTATCTTATCCGTTCTAGCCCTGAAGAAGAACTGCAAAGTCGGGTCGAAACGTTGGCTTTTAATAAATTAGTTTTGCCACTATTTAGTCTATTTATAACCACCACACCGGACCATCTCCTTCCTTAAAAATGTTAATACCTTTTGTTAGTAGCTTTCATCAATAGATCTCTAGTTTGACCATAAAATTTAGGCAGTAATTATCATCAGTGGGAAAGTGAAAAAGATAATTAGCATAATAGTTGCGGAATTGGATATCTCATCCATTCATTAAATATCTAGGTACATGAATTGGCATAAGAATAAGGTTATAAGAACCTCCGCATAATAATAACATCAAAGCAACAGGGTAGGAGAATGCATGAGCTCAGATCATAATAAATACTGGTGAACCCAGGCAATGTTGGAGAAGTTCTATATAATATTGTAAGATCCAGACTTTGTTGCATATTTTATTACTAATTTGTATAGCTTTTATTTCTTTTTGAATTTTGAAAGCAATACATTGTTTATCAAGTGTGTTGTGTTCATTTTTGCAGTTCACGCAGTGGGTCTGAGAGTGCATCTTACATTTTCTATGTGTCTAGCCTGGCCACATTGCACACACATGGATTCTTTTCTGCAGTTAATCGTTAAGTGTGAAATTCCCAAGCAGTTCCAGCCCCTGGGTGGGTTGGGTTTATAAGGTTGAACTCTGACTTTTTCATAACCAATTTCTAAAGTTTGTGGTGGTTGGGAGCAGTGTTGGGCAAAAATTATCTATAGCTAACAGATAACAGCTAACAGCTAAATTAGCTATTAGCAGGCAGATAATTCTGCAACTAAATTAGCTATTAGCGGGACCAAGAAGCTAACTTTTAGCTGTTCTTACCGCTAACCGCTAATTATCTTTATCTGTAACTTCAACTAAAAGCTAATAGCTAACTCTTCGAATTTCATTGGTCTTAGAGTCGACTATGACGTTTTGGGGGGGCGCTTTTTATGAAAATAATGTCGGATTTTCGATAGTGCCCCCGGGCAACTAATTTTTGTAACGTCTCTGATTTAATCAATATATGGGTCGACTATGAGGTTTTCGGAGGCCCTATTTATGAAAATAATGGCGGATTTTAGATAGTGCTCCCGAGTACCGACTTTTTTTAACTTTTCCGATTAAATCGATATCAGGGTCAACTCTTATGTTTTGGGAGGCACTTTTTATAAAAATGGTATCGAATTTGAGATTGGGACTCCCGGGCCTCGACTTTTTTTAAATTTTCCGATTAAATCGATATTAGGGTCGACTCTTATGTTTTAAGGAGCGCTTTTTATGAAAATGATATCGAATTTAAGATTGGGCCCCCCGGGACTCGACTTTTTTTAACTTTTCCGATTAAATCGATATCAGGGTCAACTCTAATGTTTTGGGGGGCACTTTTAATAAAAATGGTATCG